ACTTTCCTTAAATGTTCAATGGCCTTTAGCCATCAGATTTCAAAGCTGACTGATCCTCGAGATCATATTTGAAGGTCTGTAGCTTAGGGAATATTTCTCAGCTGTTAACTCAGTGCTAGGGAGAGCTGGCCAGCCACAGGGGGAGGAACCTTCATTGCTAGTTTCCTTTAGTTCGTTCTTCCTGGCTAACTGACCTGCCTACAGAGGAGCTGAGGCGTTGGCTTTTACCATCTTGGAAAAGATGCCCGGGACTCTCTTCATTAAATAAACAAACTTCCACTTAATTCATCCCAATTTTCAGTAAGGTACCCTGCCATTCCCTTTACTGTACTTAGTTGTCTCTGTTTAAGATCTGCCTACCCCCAATGCCAGAGACAGTTCATCACTTGCCATGCTAGTCTGAAGACCTGAGTTTGAGTTCGGATCCCCAGAATCCACATAAAAGCCAGACATAGCAGTAGCACAAGTCTCTGAAATCCTAGTGTGCCCCTAATGCCTTCTCCTGGAAATGTGAGGTGCAGTCAGGAGAATTGATAGACGCCAACCCCCGAGACTGACCTGCCATTTGTGTTGTGGACCGTGTTTCTCAAACGAATGGATTTTTTGTTTTTGTTTATTTTTTATTTTTAAGAGACCATTTATTTATTTACTTATTTGTTTACTTATTTAATATTATGAGTACACTGTCAATCTCTTCAGACACACCAGAAGAGGGCATCAGACCCCATTGCAGATGGTTGTGAGCCACCATGTGGTTGCTGGGAATTGAACTCAGGACCTCAGGAAGAGCAGTCAGGGCTCTCAACCGCTGAGCCATCTCTCCAGACTTTAAGAGACCCTCTCAAAGCTCTTTTAAAATCTCTTTTACCTAGACCCACCATTAGTGGCTATATTTACACAGAAGTTATGAAGAACGTGGTGGAGCTTGTTGAGAAGTGCCCCTGCACACATCAGCGGTGATTTCCACACCCAGTGTCTGTGCATGGGTCACCACTATTCCCTGAGAGAAGCTGCACAAGAGGCTAGCAGCTGTGCCACACTTAAGTAGACTCAGAGACATTCTGTGAGAGGTCCCTCCATCATGCTACAGGAGCGGGAGAGAATGGAGGCCTCAGTCCAGCATCATGGAGGGAGACCCTGACTCTAGGGAAAAGCTGTAGCTTCTGGACTTTGGCAGTCCCTTGAGCAGGACATTTAGTTTGCACTGCAGATGAATTTGAAAAAACTGTGGGGTATTTGAATCTTTTCTGTGGTACTGTAATATTTTCTTTTTTCTTTTCTTTTTTT